TTCATGAAACACTGGATTTGAAGCAATATGCAAAGCAGCTTGATTATCACAAATGAGAGATGTTGGGCCAGTGTCTCCAAACTTGAGTTCCTTCAGTAGCTGTTTTAACCAGATGAGTTCACAGGTAGCTGTGGCCATGGAGCGATATTCTGCTTCAGCACTTGATCTAGCAACTACACTTTGCTTCTTACTTCTCCAGGAAATCAAGTTATCTCCAACGAATACACAATACCCAGAAGTGGATCTTCTATCAATAGGAGAACCTGCCCAATCAGCATCTGAGTATCCTACAACTCTGGTATGACCTTTGTTTTCATAGAGAAGACCTTTGCCAGGAGCAGTCTTGATGTACTTGAGGATGCGGATTACTGCATTCCAGTGAACTTCACAGGGAGAATTCAAGAACTGACTTACTACACTGACTGCAAAGAAAATGTCTGGTCGAGTAACTGTGAGATAGTTTAGTTTCCCAACCAATCTTCTATACCTTTCTGGATCAGAAAATAGCTCCCCCTGATTTGGTAAAAGCTTGACATTTGGATCCATAGGAGCATCAACGGGCTTAGCATTTAACAATGTTGTTTCCTCAAGAATATCCATAGCATATTTTCTCTGTGATAGTACAATGCCATCTTTGGATTGGGCCACTTCTATCCCTAAGAAATATCGGAGTCTTCCAAGGTCCTTTATTTGAAAATGATGGCACAAATGTTGTTTTATCTGAGTTATGCCATGAGTATCATTACCTGTAATGAAGATATCATCAACATATACTACCAAATAAATAGAACCTGAATCAGAGTGTCTGTAAAAGACTGAGTGATCAGCCTCACTTCGAGTCATGCCAAACTGCTGCACAACAGTGCTAAACCTTCCAAACCAAGCCCGGGGATACTGCTTTAGACCATACAAGGATCTTCGGAGACGACAAACTAGGTTAGACTCCCCCTGAGCAACAAACCCAGGAGGTTGCTCCATATAAACCTCTTCCCGAAGATCACCATGGAGGAAAGCATTCTTTATGTCCAGCTGATACATAGGCCAGTGATGAATGGCTGCCATAGTAATAAAGAGGCGAACAGAAGTCATTTTCGCCACGGGAGAAAATGTGTTACCATAGTCAAGGCCAAATATCTGAGTATAACCTTTAGCCACCAAGCGGGCCTTAAGACGGTCCACCTGACCATCCGGACCAACTTTAACCGTGTATATCCATCGACAACCAACAACAGACTTCCCAGAGGGAAGGGGAACCAGATCCCAGGTACCACTACTCTGAAGTGCACTCATCTCATCAATCATGGCCTGTCGCCAACCAGAATGTGATAACGCCTCACCTGTAGTCTTAGGAACAGATACAGAAGAAAGAGAAGAGAGGCAAGCAAAATAGGATGGTGAAAGACGATGATAACTCAAATTTATTAAATACCTGGGAGGGGGACAAGAATCACGAGTACCTTTCCGGAGTGCAATGGGCACATCAATGTCAGACGGAAGGATCGGAGCTGCCGGAGGAGATGATGACGGAAGTGAGTCCACAGGAGCCTCAGTAACAAAAAGGGCATACTCGGTGGGGGCAGGGTTCTGGGGAACAGGGGGACGTTGCCGACGATGATAGACCTGGAGGGGGGGAACAGGGGCGGGAACAGGGACGGGGACATCGAAAGAAGGAGATGGTGAAGGTATATAGTGAACTGAAACATGTGGTAAAGGTAGCTGAGTAGCAACATAATCACTGGGATGGGAGGAGGAGTCAAAGAATGGAATAGACTCAAAGAATGTAACATCCGCCGAGACAAAGTAACGACGAAGACTAGGAGAATAACAACGATAACCCTTTTGTGAGCGAGGGTAACCCAGGAAAATACATTTATGTGACTTAGCAGATAACTTGTCAAGACCAAGACTGAGATTATGGACAAAACAAGTAGAACCAAAGATGTGAGGAGTGAGTGGGTACAAAGGTTGATGGGGAAACAACACAGAATGTGGTACCTGATTATGAAGTACGGAGGAAGGCATCCGATTAATGAGATAACAAGCTGTGAGGACAGCATCGCCCCATTACTGGAATGGGATATGACCATGTAACAAAAGTGTCCGAGTAGTCTCAATTAGGTGACGGTTCTTGCGTTCAACAACCCCATTCTGTTGAGGGGTGTGTGAACATGATGTCTGGTGAAGGATGCCGTGAAATGAAAAGAAGGTTTGAAACTGATGAGACAAGTATTCACGATCATTGTCACTTCGAAACACCAAATTGAGTAAGGATTTCATTAAAGAACTTGTTAAAAATAGAAAACAATTCAGACCGATTTTTCATTAAAAATAACCAAGTACATCGAGAATAATCATCGATGAAAGTGACAAAATATCTGTACCCCATAGTGGAAACGGTACGACTAGGACCCCAAATATCTGAATGAACTAAAGCAAAAGGAGACGAAGACCGACGACTGACACGATCGGGAAACGAACTACGAGTGTGCTTCCCTAACTGACACGACTCACAAGACAAACTAGATAAATTTGAGAAACGTGGGACCATCTTCTGGAGCTTAGCAAGATTTGGATGACCCAACTGAGCGTGGATAGTAAGCGGAGAATCCACAACAGAGCACACTGGAACAGAAGTTGAAAGCTGATAAAGGCCATTGGACTCAGATCCGACGCCAAGTGTCCTCCTCGAGCTCCGATCCTGCAAAATGACAGACTCTTTAGTGAAAGAAATAATACAGTCAAGGGATTGAGTCAAGCGACTAATGAAAATAAGGTTGAAAGGAGAATGAGGAACATAAAGCACATTCGCAATGGGAATAGAAGGAAAAAGGAGAACAGTGCCAATCCCTTGGGACTGAACCAGTGACCCATTAGCCATAGTGATACTGGGCAGGGGACCAGACGTACAGAGAGAGGTAAATAAAGACTTATTACCAAAAATATGGTCAGATGCACCAAAATCGAGAATCCATGGACCAAGAGAGGGCGAGTGAGAAACACTAGCAAAGGAATTACCCGTGTGTGCACTAGAGGCAGTGGTACCAGGAGGTGGCTGTGATCCAGCAATCAAGGCAGAGTCCGAGGCAGGAACAGTAGTCTGAGCAAAATGAGTGGAGCGAGGAGGGTGACCGTGAAGATCCCAGCAACGATCAATAGTATGGCCCGGCTTTTTGCAATGAGTGCAGAGAAAGCGTCTCGTAGAGGGTTTGCTTCCACGTGCAAAACCCTTGGAGACAAGGGCAGATGGGTCAATTGAAGAGGGAGCAGATACTGCAGGCTCCATAGAAGTCTTAGGTGGAATGCGAAGCAACGTAGACCAAACAGAGTCCAGCGATGGAACCAGCAACGAAAAGCAAAGAACCGCCTGTGAATAGTGACTAGCAAGGGAAAAGACACCGTAGGAAGCCGAAACGAAGTCGAAACAACAAAGTGAGGACATATCCAAGTGCGCAAGGAGAAGACGAAGGGAACCGTGGTGGTCCGACGGCCAACCGGAGTGGGACGCGCCGCTGCAACAAAACGGGTTGCAGCCGCTGTTTGACGCGCGTGAGAGCGCGTGTAGGAGGATCTGAGGATGGGTCCTGGACAGAAAGGAGCGCCTTCTCGTGGCGATCAGATCGATATGGGTTTCACCGGAAAACTCGCCGGAGATGGCGGTCAACGGCGGTGGACGGAGGTCAACGGCAGTGGACGGCGGTCAACGACAGTGGACGGCGGTCAACGACGATGGATAGTGGTGCCTAATGGCGGCAGTGATCAGACAGGTCCGTAGACGATATATGGAAGCCGGAAACTGACAGATATGATTATTTCCGGGGAAAGAAAAAAAAATATTTTACTAAGCAGACAGTGGTCCACCGGAAAAAAAAAAGCGCGGATTAAGATTCCTCTTGTTAGGCTCTGATACCATGTTAATCACCAAGAGACAAGAGGTATTCATTGTAATCCTTGTTATATTTAAACTACACAACATTGGTGCTATTATATAGCAAACCAATTGAAGAATACAAAGAGACACACTCAATGTGGGACTTCTATACTATGTACAGCAACATAGGCCAATCAGGTTTTGGAAAAAATTCTTATAATTAAAAGCTTTTTTTTTTATAATGAAGAAAAAAGCTGAAAACTAAAAGCTCCTAGGAGAAGCTTTTTTTTAAGCTCTTATCTGTTTTTCTTGAATTATGTGTTTTTTTTAAGATGAAGAGTGATAAAGATAGAGAGAGATAATTTTCGTGAAATATGTGCTTTTAAATAATTTTTAAGCTAAATTTTTTATGTAATTTTCAAACAGCTTTTAGTTTTTTTTTATAAGCTCTTTTTTTTAGCTTTAGCTTATAAGTAGCTTATAACTTAAAAAATAAGAGGATCTAAACATGCTCTTAATTTCTAAACGAATCTTTTAACGAGACCTATACTATTTTAAAATGGGTATATATATATACATACAGACAATAAACCAAATTTAAATTAAAATAAAAATTACAAAAATCTTCAATAAAACACAATACAACGAAGATACATAAAAAAAGGCAATTACAAAGACAAAAATCACTGCAAGTCTGTTGTGGCTGTGAGCCTGTGAGTGAAAGTGAAGAACAGCAAGAAAAAAGACACACTCAAAAAATAGAAAGTACGAGACCCTGAAATTAATAATTACTATAAAATAAAAAATAGTAAATATAATCCGTTTGGTCTGACTCTTCCATCTCTGAAATTTACTTACTAAACACAACTAATTTGAGTTAATTTAGATGAACCCACAGGAATAAAATTCTTCCGGTTTAAACTTGCACGCTGGCTCACACTAAGAGGGGTTAGGTGATGAATCTATTTAATAATGTTTTAGACAAATCCGGGTAAGGATAACGGACTATCCACAACCCGAACCAAGAGTGCGTTGTTACAATTCGGTGCACGTTAGCACAGCCCCCTCGATTCTCTCAATATAAAAAAGACTGAATCAAAAAGTACGCATATTTCTCTCTCTTCCACTCTTTGTAGCTGCTTCTGCTTCAGCTTCTGTTTCTTCTTCCAAAATGGCGGCTGCAACGTCGTGCTCTCCGGCAATCTCCGCCGCATCCGAAACCCTAGCTAAACCGGTCACCAGAAGCTTCGCTACCACCAACCTCGCATTGCAACCTTCATCTTCGAAGCTCGGCTTCAAATCCCTAAGGCTTCGCCGATGCGGCGCAGCCTACGGCAGCCCAGCCCTCGGAGCTCGCATGGTGTCGGCGCCGGCGATAAAGCCTCCCGCTTCGCTCGATTTCAGCACATCCGTCTTCAAGAAGGAGAAGATTAGCCTCGCCGGACACGATGAGGTTTTCTTTCTCTTCGAATGCTTTCTCACATTTCCATAATTACGTGAATGTTAAACTTGTTTCGATTATTGTTTGGATTAATTTCAGTACATCGTAAGAGGAGGTAGGGATTTGTTCCATTTGTTGCCGGATTCTTTCAAGGGGATTAAGCAGATTGGTGTTATCGGGTGGGGATCACAGGTAATCAACAAATTCTATTTAAATGATTTAAATTAAGTTAAAATGTTATAAGCACACATTTAAAATGTGTATTTTCAAGTGAATATGATTATTAACTAGTCACTGTATTTATCAGGGACCTGCTCAGGCTCAGAATATACGGGACTCACTTGCTGAAACAAAGTCTGATATTGTGGTCAAGGTCTGAATGTGATTTTGGTTTTTGTTTGTTGATTTGTTCAGTGTCTTTTTATAGTATATTTATAAATATTGATTAATATATTAGTTACTATGTATTTTATGCACGTGTAATATTTTTGTCTCAGGCACTGCATGGATTTGTTTATGTAACCAAATGCAGTTGCGTTAGTTTTACTATTCCCGCCAATACTAGACGTTTGTATCTTGTGCAACTGGTTCTTATATATACCAGCTTGTATTCATTCAATGAGAACTTTTCAGTTTCATTTGCTTTATCGATTTGTAATATGGTATCAGAGCTCATCTAGAGCTCTGGTATCCAAATCCTTTCCTCTATTCTCGTCTATCCTTTCTCCGTGAGTTTTCTCAGCAAGATTCTCTTTCTTTGACATGGCAAATCAACCAGAAAATCTCAATTCTCTTTCCAATCCCTATTATCTCCATCCTAATGAAAGTCCATCGTTGGTGTTAGTATCTCAGCCGATGAATGAAAAGAATTTTCATACTTGGCAGAGATCAATGCGCATGGCGTTACTCTCCAAAAACAAAATCGGATTTGTTGATGGAACTATCACCAAACCGAATGCAGATGATCCTCTATTTGGAGCTTGAGAGAGGTGTAATACGATGGTGGTTTCTTGGCTACATAGATCCATCACAGAATCAATTGCTCAATTAGTTATGTGGATGGACAAAGCAAACTATGTATGGAAGAATCTCCAAGATAGATTTTCTCAAACAGATGTTTTTAGAATCTCAGATCTTCAAGCTTCAATAGGGAGATAGGTTCGTTTCTGACTATTTCACTCAGTTAAAAATTCTATGGGATGAACTTGAGAGTCTACAACCTGTGTCTTGCCATCATGTACATGTAATGCGAATCTTTGACCAAATGGGGGGTTTTTACCCCTTTAATTTCCCTATCTGGTATTCAATTCCCGATATTTACCAATAGGGGTCATTTAGTACCTGGGGGGGGGGGGGCAGCGGGTTTGAGTCTCGCACCCGTTCCCTGCGGAACAATGTGTTTTTTTTTTTTTTTTCCAGGTGAGTTCCATGACCCCTCCCTTGGGAACTCACACAGGTGTGCCAAGTGGCACAATCCCATCTTTTAACTCATTCCTCCTTCCCCGTTCATTCATTCAAATACTAAACACTACTCATTAACCACTAAACATTATGTAAAATAGTAATTTCTAAATTACAAAATTACTATTTAGATGAATAGTAATTATTCCCCGTTTATTACTATTTTTACTGTAACAAAATTATTCCTCGTTTATTACTATTTTTACTCAAATTTTTTTACTATAAATTAGTGATATTTTTTACTGCAACAAAATTTTTACTGCATAATTTTGTAATTTTGAAATTACTATTTTTACTGCATAGTAATAATTTTGTTGTAGTAAAAATATGTTAATTAATATTTCGACTTTTTTTTTGGTAAACAATATTTAATGAATTAGTGAATTATTGTTATAATTTTTTAAAATTAATTATTTTTTATTACTCTAATATGGGCATGTGTAATTAATAATATGTAAAGATTTTACATAATGCTTATTGGTTAATGAGTCGTGTTTAGTATTTTAATGAATGAACGGAGAACAAAGAATGAGTGAAAAGCTAGGATTGTGGCACTTGGCACACCTGTATCAGTTCCTCGGGGGGCTCATGGAACTTAGCTGCAAAAAACAAAACATTGTTTTGGGGGCGGGGGGCAAACCCACTGCCCCCCGCGGTACTAAACAACCCCCATTGGTAATACCGGGAATCGAATACCAGATAGAAAAATTAAATGGGTAAAAACCCCCTATTTGGTCAAAAAGCCTATGTGATGCTTCAACACAAATCAAGAATGCTTATGAAAGAGATTGTGTTATAAGGTTTCTCAAGGCACTGAATGTTCAATTTGAACATGTACGAGCTCATGTGGTGCTTCTTGACCCTTTACCTTGCGTAAACAAAGTCTTTTCTCTCATTATTCAACAGGAATGAAAGACGTTTGAAACTAGGAGTCAGTGGAGCCAATGAGCCACAATCATTCATCAATGTCACTGAGCAACAAAAGTCAAATAATCAATTTCATGGACGATCACCGCAACAAATTTGCCCTAGCTATGGGAGAGGACGTGGAAGTAATTTTTGCACGTATTGCAAACCAACCAACCATATGATCGAGACCTGTTATCTCAAACATGGATTTCCACCTGGATACAAATCCAAGAAACCACTTACAACAAACTTTGCTTTTCATGAATTTGATGATGAATTTCATGACATAGTTGACAAACAAGAACCTGATGTCAACCTTACCTTTTTAAAAGAACATTAGCAGGAGGCAGGAGCTACTGGAACTTTTGCAACGTTCAAAGCAAAATCATTCAACAAATATAGTGCAGACTTCTGCCTTAAACATTGATAGCACACCATCAGGTATTGATCCAACTCGTTGGATTTTGGACATTTGGTGCTACTGACCACATCACGTACATAGCTTTCGTTTTTTCGTGTTTCCAGCCTATAAAGCCCACACACATCACCCTTCCTAATGGTGCCCAGATCCACTACTCATTCTGGCAATGTACATCTATCAAACTCCCTAATTCTAAAGAATGTTCTTTATGTGCCTTCATTTCATGTTAATTTGATATCAGTTACCAAGCTCTTACGAGATACTCACTGTTATATTCTTTTTCGTAATATAACATGTCTCATTCGACGGATTTCAACCAACCAGACAATTGGTTCAGCTAAGCAAATCGAGGGATTATACATCCTGCAACAAACACATGAGTGTCCTGTCAAAGATAACTCCTGCAATAAGGTGTCTTTTGATTCTTTGATGATATGGCACCAAAGACTTGGACACCCATCCCAACCAATATGTCTTAAGCATTTTCCCTTTGTTTCTTGTAATAACATTAACCCTTGTGATGTCTGCCATTTTTCTAAACAATGAAAACTACCACATTTGTCTAGCACATCTAAAGCTACTGCTCCTTTCCAACTAATACACAGATATTTGGGGTTCAATTTCTTATATTTCTTCACATGGTCATCGTTACTTTTTAACCATTGTAGATGACTTTACAAAATTCACATGGCTATCCTTTTAAAAGACAAAAGTGAAGCACGTACAAATTTAAAGTACTTCTTTTCTTATGTTGAAAACCAAATTCAATCCTCTATGAAAATAGTTAGGAGTGATAATGGAGCATAATTTCTATTGTTCCAAAGGGGTAGAACATCAACGTTATTGCGTTGAATCACCTTAACAGAATGGGGTTGCAGAACGTAAACACTAGCACATTCTTAATGTAGCTTGTTCTCTATTTTTTCAAGCCAACTTACCCTTAAGCTTGTGGTGTTATGCAGTTTCCCATGCTGTTCATCTAATCAACCGCCTATGTACTCCAAATCTCAATAATAAAACACCCTTTGAGCTGCTATACAAAAAACCTCCTACTCTTATACATCTATGAGTGTTTGGCTGTCTTGCCTATGCCACTACTCTTTAATGTCATCGAACTAAATTTGATCCTCGAGCCCAGAAAACTGTATTTCTTGGATACAAACAAGGTACAAAAGGATATATCTTGTTTAACCTTTCCAATCGCAATATTATAATATCCATAAATGTGATCTTTTATGAAAGTTCCTTTTCTTTCATCCCCGCACTTGATTTATCATCCAATCTAGCTCTAGAACTTAAAGAAATCCCTGAACATATTCCTAGCTGTGATATTGACCTTTCAGAACCTACCCTTGCCCCTCAGGCCATTGCTCCCATTGCACTAAACCCAATCATTCCTCAAGTTTCAATACCAGAAGCCAACCCTCAACAAACTCAAAATATTCAACTCAGACGTTTGTCCAGACCTCATATTGCAACAAAATATTTTCAGGATTTTCATGTGTCTCTATTGATTGCTTCTGGCACCAATGCAGTCTCAGCCTCTCAGGTTCTTCTCCTTTTACTGTTTATCCACTTTCTATGGTACTATCTTATAACCAATGTTCTTTTGTTTACAAGAACTTTTGCCTCAATGTTACTTCTTGTATTGAACCTAAGTTATACTCCCAAGCATCTAAACACGAATGTTGGAGGAAAGCCATGTGTGAGGAAATAACACCTCTAGAACAAAACCATAAATGGTCCATTGTTGATCTCCCTCCCATTACCACACCCATTGGGTGCAAGTCGGTTTATAAAATCAAACACAAGGTAGATGGCTCAATAGAACGTTACAAGGCAAGATTGTTTGCCAAAGGCTACACTCAAGTTGAAGGCATTGACTACCTTGATACATTCT